ATGCTCACATCATATTCTTCAACCACTTCTTCCTCCTTCCCATTCATGTCTTTAAGTACGGTTTGGAGGGCAAGATGCCATACAAGATCATATAAAGGATTCTCTTGCTCCTCCACACTCGTGGCTTGGTCTTCAAAGATGCTCTCGGGAAGGGGAAAGTGGTGAGAGTCGTCAATTCAACCTTCTTGTTCATCCTCAGCACGGGATCTCTCTGGGGCGGGTTCATCTCGCTCCATAGGGTTGTCATTGATAGCTCCTTCAACCTCCTCTTTCTTCTCCAATGATGAGAGTCGATAGCTTGCACAAGCTCGTGCAACTTCTCTTCTAGTGTCAAAGCGGGAGGAGGGAGGGTTTGGAAATCTTTGTTGGAGCTTGTTCTTTCAAATTTCTCCATGGCAAGCTCCAACTTAGACTTCACTTCTGGTTGGGGGAGATCCAAATTCGAGCACCCTTCATCGGTTCCTCGAGCAAACCGCTCCACCATGAGCTCCAATTGGCTCGTCGGCTCCGGTCGTGGAGTGGCACACGGTCTTGAGGTATGCCCTATGAAAGACTCAATTGCCAACTCCAACTAGGATTTCTCCTCGAGTTGTGGAGGAAGTTTTTCTTCATATGGGAAAGTTTCTTGAACTCCCCAATGGTATACTTCTTCTTCTTCTTGAAGGGAGGTTGATCATAGATATTGGTTCCTTGGCTTCCACCTTCTTGGTTACTCCATGAAGATCCAGGGTACCATTATTTGGGTGGCTGTGGATACCCCCACATGTTGTAGAAGCCATTGCAATCCATGATTCAACCTACACAAACAAAAACACAAAAACAAACTCAAACAAACACAAACCACCCTTTTAAGAGAAGAGTGGGTCAATAATACACAAAACAAAACACGAAACAGCTAAAGTAACGACCTAACCCTTCTTCAAATAACCTAGAATGGTTCCCCAGCAACGACGCCAAAAACTTGACTCGATTCTAACTACACATCCCAATAGCTGGTCAAGTATAACCGGCAACCGGGTGTAGCATTGGGCAAGTAGGCAATAATAATTTATCGTACCACGGGGATCTAGGCTTACCCTACTTCAGTTTTAGGTTTCGTTATCAAGGAAATCTAGGAAAGTGATTAACAAAACTAAGCTAACCAACCTAGAGTAACCACTAACCTATCTATTTACAAGGTTGGGAGTTCTCTTGAGTTGAATCCCCCTAGTTCTAGCCTTTGGATCGATGTTGAGTACTATCCTAACTCGATCGATTCACTATCCTACCGTTTTGAGATTGACTCACTCGGGATGAATCCGGAACGACAAAGTGATGGATGGGTAGGAGCTCTATTCAACCTAGGGTTTCATATATTGCTAGGATACCAATGAAATCAACTCCCTCATGGATTACCCGGACAATATACGATAGGAGTGGCCTGAAGACGCCAATAGGGGGCTCTAAGGGGATTTTCTCCCTCCTAGATCAAAGCTCAATTGACAAGTCAAGGAATCCAAACTCACTCAATCCTTACCAAACATCCATCAAATGGATAAATTCATCAATCAAAGATAGAATGTCACATACATCAACAATGAAACAAAATCTAGAAATAGGGTTCTTAAACCCAAGAGAAGATGGTGAGTTTCTAGAGAGAGAATAGAGAATTTACAAATTGGAGCCCAAGATCTTCTTCTTCTTCTTGGCTTGATTCCTTGATTCCAATCTTGATCAATGCCATCAATTAACCTCCAAGATCACTCAAGAACTCTCTCTCTCTCTCTCTCTCTCTCTCTCACTAGAACTCCCTTTTGGTGTTTTTGGTTTAAACCCAAGAGAAAGAAACTATTTCCTCCCCAAAAACCAGATCTCTTTTCTCTCTCCCCGCTGTTGTCTTTAAATTTGCCCGATGGGGCCAGTTCACGACCAGGAGGAAATTGAGACTTGAAACCAGTAACTTGCAAAATCGTTCTGGAAATTGGTCTCTTCACGGCCTGGGATTTCAGTTCACGGCCCAGGGGAAATAGAGACCGTGAACTGAATCTCCAGCCCGTGAACAGGGCTCAGCCTCCACTTTATGGCTCGTTTTGACCACCGAATGACCCGAAACTCGTTCCGGACCTTCCCACACGTGCTAAGACCTGAAATATAACAAAACAAGCACAACCTAGCGCAAAATAGGTCGAGGGACGGTGATCTACTAAGCACAACGAATAAGAAATGAGGGGTAAAAGGTGTACATTTGGAGCGAATAAGAACTCCATGATTTAGATTGTGTTTTTCGTTATGAAATTTGTTAAGTCTTGAAGACGACTTGGTTTAAAGCAACTATGATCGTGGATTGATATTAAGTCGTTGTGGTTTTCGATTTTAGTTATGTGTGAACTATTGCGAGGTGTGTTTTAATATATTTAGTGTTAGTGATTAAGCTATAAGAAGTTATAGTTCTTGCTATTATGATTGTGGATTGAATTTTATGGTTTCTATCATAATTTTTTAGACCAAACAAAGTAATGACATCGAGAGGCATAAGCACGAAATTCAATGGTCACAGGCTTATTTTATTGTAAGCGGCCAACCTTTTACTATAAGCGGTCGACCGCAACATCAACATTTTCCTCTACGTTTCACTTCAAAAGGGATTGATTGATGTGTTGTCGGCTATTCTTCTATCTGATCAAACTCTAACATAAAATGGTCGGCTTCATTGCAGATATGGTAATGATCATTTTGTTATTGACCAACCTGAAGTGGTCGACCTCTTTTTTTTTTTACAGTCCACCACTTTGTATATGACTAAATTGAAAGGTCGACCTCTTTTCTATTGTGGTCGACCATTTATTGTATGACTGCCTCAAATTGGTCGACCATTTTGGTAATGACTACGTTAAAACGGTCGCCCATTATATGTTCATGGTCGACCGTAGTTTCTATAAGAATGACCCCGATGGTGTAACGGTCGACCGGACGAGCACATAGGTCGACCGAATTGTGCAAGTCACGGTGCCTTGCATGTCATCGTAGATGTACCCTAAATCTTATATCATTTACTTACACACCTACTTAAACGAAACACGAAGATTCCAAAAAGCCCTCTCGGTAATCCATTCTCAATAAGACTTACTCTAATTTTCATTCTCAATTAACTATTAAGCTAATATATAATTTACCAATTTTGCTTCCGAGTACCAACCCTATTGCACTGTTCCTCCGCCCTTGGTTGGAATAAAGTTTTTTTTTTCAAATTAATTATGGTTTGGTGAAAAATTGTCGTTCATATTAAACCAGCACACTTTTAATTTTGAGTGGATCATATGCACCATTGCCAGTTAGATTGCTACCACAAATGAATATGTTAATAAACCACTTATGAATCAAACATTTGTAAGGCCAATCATTCTCAATTAGATATACTCTAAATTTCATTCTCAATTAACTATTATATCTATGGGATAATATCACAGCATTTTATACCCTTCTACTATTACAAGTTAACAAATGTACCCTTGTACTATTTTTTTTTACACAAACATACTCTTTTACGATTAACTTTGTAACGAACTTAGTCTTCTGTCAAATTTTCCGTAAATGACTGTTAAGCAGGAGGGAAATATCTAATATATACCCCTTTCTTGTTAATTTATAATTTACAATTTATTACTTGTCATTTCTCCCTTCTCTTTCAATCTCCAGCAGCCGGTGATTGAAGATCCTCACCGGCCGACTTCCCGTTCTAAGCCCCAGCATCCACCGAGAATTTAGAGCTCTAAGACAATCCACTGCTTCCCCGCAACTCCTTCGGTGCCTCTAGTCTGCCCCTCCCATATTTCAACCAATTCTCCCTCTCACTACAGGAAAAAGGCCATTTAATCACGGAAAATACCGTATTAAAAAGTGTATTTCTGGTGATTAATGGTGTTAGTCACGGGAATATTACTGTGTTAAAAAGCTTCGTGACTAATTGTAAGGTCACGAGAAAATATGTACCGTGACTAGTTATGCATAGTCACGGGATAATTTCATGTGATAAATTGTTCCTATTAATCACGGGAAACAACGTGACTAATGCCAAATTTTGGAGCATATATCCCTAAGAAAATACATTTAGAGACGGGCTGCAAAACCTTTTAAGATGGTGGTTACCGTGACTAGATCCTTAAAAAATTGAAACCACTCTCAATCTTCGCCTTCATTGACGGAACCCTAGCTCACCAATCTCTACAAGTCAAGTTCCGACGCCCCGACACCTATGTGAGATCTGTTGGCCCGTTTGGGTCGAAGATGGTGGAGCGCCGCTTGGGGTGTTTGATTTCTGATACCAATTTTCGACCGTTGAACTTGAGAATTCAGTTCTGTTGTTTCGGGGAATTCATTAGTGGGTTATCGAAGGGTTCCGGCGTTTTTTTTTCCCCCTCCAGCGAAGCTGCAGTTGATTTTGGGCATTTAGGTTGGTGGTCTAAATGGAATTTGCGGGATCCTGATGGTGGCGGTTGGGGGAGCGCTTTTGTGGGGGGAGATGGAAGGAAAATAAATAGAATGACAATCATGATTAATTACTTATTTACTTGTTTTTATATAATATAAATATTATAAAACAAATGATGGTAAACTAGTCGTTTAGTTTTATTTAACGGTTTAACGGTGATCTCACGGAAATTTTGATAGAAGTGTGTGGTTGTTACAAACTTACATGCTTATAAAGTTATAATTCAAATCAAGGGTATGTTTGTGCAAAATAAATATGTAAAGGTATGTTTATTGATTTGTAATAGTAAAGGGGTATAAAATCCTATTATCCCAATATCTATTTTACAAACTTCAAGTCACATTTTTGAGTACTTACGTAACCTAATTAATAATTATCTTATAACACAAAATATAACGGATATGTACATACTTCAAGTACATAACTTGGTTTTCATTTCAGAGTTTGTACGAAAATGATTATAATTTCTATATATATAACCCTCCCAATAACTTAAGTTATTTGAATCAATTGGTTTATCGTATCCGGCTAAACTTAAATTTTGCTTTTATGTATGAATGCTATTAGCACCGAAATTATTATTCAATCTAGAGTAAGCAGAGGTATTAAAAAAAAAAAAGACCAACTTTTCATCTAGTACTATAGAACAGTACCGAAACTGTACATTACCCAACATGAACATCAACTTGTGCCACGAAGCTTAACAAGAACTTAAGGCAACCATCAACCGTACTAGAGCTCTTCTTCTTCTTCTTCCCTTCTGTAGCAGTAGTACTACCCTCGAACATCTGGTTCGTCCATCTCTTCACTCTCTTTAAAACGACACCGTGCACGCCTTTCTTCTTCCTCTCGTTGGACGATTCTTCCTCCCTCGTGAACGTATAGCTCCTTAAGTACCTCTGCCTCCACACGTAAGCATCCGGGCTGCTCGTATTGTTCTTCGACCCGCCGGTGAACCATGACCCGTATATGCTGCCTTCTTCCGCCTCGGCTCGGAGAGAAGAGTATGAAGAAGAAGAGAAACTACTCGCGACACTGTTATTGCAGTTTGCAGCTCGTTCTTTCTCCATGCAGAGGTTGATGATGAATCTGGCGTGTGCTTTGTGCCATTCTGGTTTCACCGACCTTCTTTGTGGAAATTGGTTTTCGACATCTACACAGACCTTCGAGTTGCAGCTCATCACCATTGTTATTCTCTCTCTATATCTCTCTCTCTACTCCTTAGTTATGTGAGCAGGAGGATACTCAAAAACTTGATTTGGTGTTGGTCTCCTCCCTATTTATATTATATCGGACTTCGGATGTCCTTATTTATGTTGTGTTCGGATTTAGATTATAGCTTCAGTCCAAAACCGCATAGGATAATGATACTAATAATATTCTTAAATTACTATTTGGTTAAGTACTTCATAATAGTAGTGATATCTTGTTAAGCCTGTCGAGAATTTTTATATTTTTGTTAGGTAAATTACGAATGAAGAAACATACGATTTATTATCTTATCATTCATAAATTAAAACTCGTTTGCTCTTACTCTAAAGGCCTAGTTGTGTTCTTAATTGTCCCCCAGGTAGCTATTAGTTCTTCCTATTTCTCTTACAAATTCCAAACCCCATGGCAGAATCTATCATTATTGATTATCCACCACATGTTAGTCGGCGTTATTTCTTTGTTTGAGTTTAATTGTTTCGATAAGGGTGGAAGTTGTCCAGAAAGAAAAGATGGTGGAATGAGAATTATCTGTATAGACGCAATCAAATGTACTCTACATTGTATTAGCTGCGTTGTAAATTCATTAACTTATTTGAAATGATTCATATTGAAATATGAAAAACTATAACGAAAAATATTCGTAGAGATAACTCATCCACATATATCAATTAATTTGACTTTCATTGCTTGGATTACAATTTACAAATAATTAGAGGCTGGAGCGGAGTTAATTAATATCTAGATATTTTTCAACCAAAAATTGTGTAAATGATGAGGCAAAAATCGGAAACATATTCACCAAGATGGAAGAACGGGACAATACGCATAAGACAGGACTTGGCAAGAAAATGAGATCTCACTGTAAATTTGTAGAACTCGATGAGTATTTTTAACTTTTACCATCATGTGGGTTTGAATTTGAAATTATGTCATATCTTATTGGTTAGAAAAGTGTGCATCGCAGATTGTGCATTGTTTCTGTCTGAATCAGTCAGTAGCTGTGTTTATATTGACTGTCTTGGGGACGATGAAGATATAATTTTTTACTAATATGTATCAAGTTATACCCGTGGCCCGTGGGCCGTGACCTCTATGTATGAAATGAAGGTTGCGATGTTTTCATTTCTCATCATTGAACTTTCTCTTTCAAGAAAATATGTAAATGCAGTTTAATACCTACATATATCATTATCGATTATAAGAAAGAATTCCAATTGTTTTGCTTGTGTATAATTTGGATATGTTATTATTCAAAACTGTTATTTCAAATTAAAAAAATCAAATTCACCATTATAAAAAAATTAAAAAAATCACATGTCACAATTCTTGTTATTTGTTATGTAGTATATGTACGAATTATCACGTTTGCATAGATTATAAGTAGTTTATTCTTGATGCGGTATTTGGACTCAAATTTGTTCAAATTAACTCTATCTCTTACTCGCTTAGTATAGGTCTAGGGATGGCAACAATATCCGTAACCGTGGATATCCCCCCGAATCCGACCTAATTGGGTAGGGTAAAACCCGAACACGAAGAATTTTTAGTGGGTACGGATAAAACCCGAACTCGAATATTGTGCGTAATGGGTGGACTTGGTTTCTCACTATCCAACCCGAACCCGCACGATTATGCACATGCATATGTATTTTGTCTAGAAATAGTCATTATTTTCTCTAACATATTATATATTTAGCATACAAATTTAATATTTTCATTAAATTGTGTTGTTTTAATTAATTTTCTTCAATCTAATGATTTATTATTAATCATGGATAATCGTGGATACCCGAAACTCGAACGGGTATGGGCACGGTTTTGATTTTCTACCTATTTCTTTATGTGGATATGGATATGGGTATAAGTACAACCCGAACTACTTCAGATAGGATATAAGATATACACTATCCGTCGTTTTAATATAATAGTACTGTGTCAAAATATATTGAGTCTTTGTTAGTGTTAGATATTATTAGGATAAAGGGGGCAACCAAATAATGATTATGGGGATGATTGGGGAAGAAGAGATAAAAAGTAGGACTAAACAATAATATGTTATTTTGATAACATCTAACCTCTAGACTATCACAATCTAGCTAGATATCAAGATGTTGGGGAGCAGTTTAAGTTCTATATTGGGAAAAATAACGAAAAACTCTTTTATACATAAGTGTTCGACTAACTTTGTGGTAAATGTCATATTTGGTCACTAGGATTACTAAATCATGTTATGTTTAGTCACTATAAAAAATGAATATCAATTTTGGTCACTCAAATTACTAAAACATGTCACATTAGTAGTTCGAGTGACCAAAATTAATATTAATTTTTTTAGTGACTAAACATGACATGATTTAGTAATCTTAGTGATCAAATGTGGTATTTACATACTAACTTTGTTAGTACATGCCTTTTAGAAAGCTTTCCACAAACATATTCATGCAGCAAATAATACACTCGATTGTGTGTAGCAATCAATGATGATGGAATCCAGGCATCCATTTACACTCTACTTATATATTATGAATGCCCCCCCTGAAGACATATAATATCAGTTTTCTCTACTTTATATACTTCTAATTGCAGGGAAAGAAAACCCCCAACAATTCAAATACTAATAGTTAGGATTAGAAATGCGGGCAGAAGCAATACCCAAAACAAGAACGTGGCTCGGTGGATAGGAGGACAGACATTCCGATGAGCTCAGTAAACAAAACAACAAAAAAGGTTCGAAGATCGATCCAAAACTGACTTTCGGGTTTGCTTGCAGAGAATCTTTGGTGCTTTCTGGTTTTTGAGGGTTTTGTCTTTCTCTTAAAGTTTGGTATCTCTTGATGGATGTTTGTTCTGATTCGCTTTGTCTTTGCCCTCGGACCTTGATCAATTGCTTGCAGCCTACTGGGCCGTAGAATTACAAACTCTATATCTTGTTCCTGGTTCAGGACTACCAATATGTGATTGTACATGGATGCCAGCTTCTTTTGTAGTGTACCTCTGAACCTTGGCTTTTGCCTCCTATTAATTTTTTTCCCGTAAAATCCTTATGCAATAATACCAAGTTTGTAGCTCTAATGAATATTAGTATTATTATAACTATCAATGTATATAATAAGGTACATATTAACCAAAAACATGTAATTAATTCTACATGCACATGGTTAAAACTATAGTTTATATATATATATATATATGGCGAGTTCTACGGTACCCTGGGTGAAATCCGGGGTACCGCATACCTTGAGTATGAAAACACTATCTAGACCTTGAATTGACCGATCTTTCAGACATGATAATATACTAGCCTATTACCCGGCCCGTTGGCCGGATTAATGTATGTTACCCACTTGTGGAATAGGAGAGAAAGCAAGTGAGAGTGAAGGGATTGGGATTCCACTTGATTAGGACTGACCCACTAATCCAATTCTTCCCGGCCCGCCCCAACCTAAAGGGTCAGAAAGAGTCAATAAGAAAATACGAACGGAGAGGATTAGTCATATTCATATATCTTGACTCTTCAGAAGTGGGTCAAACAGGATCAAGGTTGGGTGAGGGAAATTTTTAGCGCTAAGCAGAGTTCTGGGTTGAATAACATTACTTAGGCCTAGAAATTGGTGTTGATGCAGACTGCAGTTTTTATTATATCATCATCAATCATCATTGAATTAGTCCTGGGCATCCCTCCCCGTTGTCGATATGAATTCTAATGATGGCTCCGTTCCTTGCACCAGCCTTATCAGCGAGTTGTCATCTCGAGCATGATTTGCCTATGTACAAATGATACAATTAGAGTATGAAACTGAATTCAAAGAAAAGGAAAATAGATTTCTATCACATGCCAATAAATACACACATAATAGTTGAAGCTAAGTGAAAGTCATTACTCGCACATCAATTCTCAAAAATTACAGACTAAACAATGGCTAGAATGGTACTGAAACTACCAAGAATCATGGACGAAACAACTTGTCAAATTAAATAATCCTTATACTGAAACTAACTTCTAACTTGAAATAAGACATGATCACAGTTCATAGCTCTCTTCTCACTATGAATTGGTTGCAGCTCGTCCTTATCACTGCCTCCCAAGCTCAATTCAAACAGAATAGAGACCGTTATGTAAGATAACCATATCCTTACTGATCATAATTCCTTTCTTCACTCCATTTTTGTCAGAGAAAAGAGTTACCCCCCTCTCCTGCATTTCCCTTTCCCCCCTCTCTTCTCCCTCTTCTTCACAAACCGATCCCTAAACCAGCAACAACAACACAAAAATAGCCTTCGCCTCTGCTATCTCCATCTACTGAACGCGTTGGTGGCAAGACAGGACTGCAGAAGCAAAATTTTCTAAAATCAAACAAAATTTTTTGAAGGAGACTCAACCACGAAAAAATAGTAAAGCAACAATGCTAATAGTTCAGATGGTTGGTTTTGATGTTATGCATTGCTTTTGTTCTGGTCTCCAGTATATCAACTGCAATAGAGATGTTTCCTCCAATCATCTTTAGTGCACGATTTAGAAGCAAGTCCTCCTGTTTGTGTCAAACGGAAACATTCATGGGTTCTTAACCCCCCTGTTAGTGTAAAAGCAGCAGCAGCAACAAAGAAGTTTGACAACACAGCAAGCACCTAGGCAAAATGATACAATGCAGTAGGTGATATGTGTCTCGAAGGTTTTGAGTTACTAAAGTTCATGTTAAAAATAAACATGAATTAAAATGGATTATTCTATTAAGCAAACATCCCCTCCAATCATACAAAGATCAGATATCCAATTCACAAACAATTAAGCCATAAAAAATCATCACACATCCACCACCTTTGATTGCCTAAATTTGGTTTTTCGCAAAAGTTATGGACTCTTAAGGGAAACGTTCATAGTTAGTCTGTTTCATAACTCTAGAGAGCACAGTAAGCAGCCACCAGCCAGACACAGTGCGGTAGGCGAATATGATTCTCAATTCACAATTTCTCACCACCAGAAGTAAGAACAGACCATAATAAGCGTAGCGTTCATGGGTGGTCTGTTTCATAGCACTACTACACAATTTGTTAAAAAAGAAAGAAAGCTATTTAGCACCACGGCGGAACAACTTTTACAGGCTAACAACGACAACATGCTGCAACCACCAGAACTGGTATCACAACTCATAGGGAAAATTAAAAGATTTACTCTCAAATTAAGCAGTTACAACATCGAGCAATTGTCAAGCA